TAGCCTTTGCGAGGGCCCGCTTGTAGGACAGGGTGCAGAGCCAGCACAGGAGCTTTCCCTCAACCTTTTTGCGAGACTCCGGGTCCTTTCGGTCGAAAGCGCACCGCTGTTTGCACTGTTCGCATGTGAGGGGCGGTCCGTATTTCTTCTCAGAGTTGGCACATCTCTGGCATTTGGAGCCAATGAACGCCGCGATTATATTACAGTAATCACAGGCCGACGGCTATATACCGGTGCGACAAATGAATGGTAAGTCTCAATGTCTATCGTAATACGCGATTGCATTCAGAGGTTTAGGTGTTTTGTATGGCAAACATGCGATTAATACTTCAAATGTTTAATTTAATTTAAAACTAAACTCAATGTTTTGGGTAAACGTTAAAACAGTTTCACAATTAATCGCTTGAATACGGATTGAATACAAAACACGTAAACCTCGACATTGAATGCAATGATCGACTAAATGATGGCATACTTTGCCGAAGTTTTTCACATTGAGTTCGCACTTCTTGCAGATGGCTTGAATGGATTTGCTCTCCTGTTGGTTAGCCTTTGCGAGGGCCCGCTTGTAGGACAGGGTGCAGAGCCAGCACAGGAGCTTTCCCTCAACCTTTTTGCGAGACTCCGGGTCCTTTCGGTCGAAAGCGCACCGCTGTTTGCACTGTTCGCATGTCAGGGGCGGTCCGTATTTCTTCTCAGAGTTGGCACATCTCTGGCATTTCGAGCCAATGAACGCCGCGATTATATTACAGTAATCACAGGCCGACGGCTATATACCGGTGCGACAAATCAATGGTAAGGCAAACACACCGTTAGTCTCAATGTCTATCGTAATACGCGATTGCATTCAGAGGTTCAGGTGTTTTGTATCGCAAACATGCGATTAATACTTCAAATGTTTAATTTAATTTCAAACTAAACTCAATGTTTTGGGTATTCATACAAAACACGTAAACCTCGACATTGAATGCAATGATCGACTAAATGATGGCATACTTTGCCGAAGTTTTTCACATTGAGTTCGCACTTCTTGCAGATGGCTTGAATGGATTTGCTCTCCTGTTGGAACTCCGTTCGACAGTACGTGCACTTCACTATGGGAAAGGCACCCCTACACTCCTGACATACCCGTCCACACAAACACATCTATTAGTACACTATTCATTGCAATTGGCATTTGGTTTAGACATTCACTCAAACTGTGAATTACAGACACAAAGAGAGAAAGAGAGAGAGAGAGAGAGAGAAAGAGAGAGAGAAAGAGAGAGAGAGGGAAAGGCATACTTTGCACAACTGCTGTCCCTGTGATAGCTCTTCAAATGGATGTCTTGAGTTACATCGGGTGCAGGCGAACAGTGCCTGCGATGCGGCCGATGATGTCTGCGACGAAGACATCGCTCACAACCACTGTCTTCAGCCTTATATACAAGGCTTTCGTCGATTTCTGTGTCCGCACACAAACAGCCGGCGCTCTACCGGTTCTGAGCAATTGGCGATCAACCACTTCTTGAGGAGAATCTTCGTGTCCACGGCTACCACAGCTAATCACATGCGGATAGACATCAATCTCGTGAGGGATATGGCCATGGATCAGATGATGGCTTAAGACAAACAATAAGTCTACAGATTATATGAGTTGCCAATCACTTGTCAATTGGTTTATCGCCACAAAACATATGATTACAACGAGTGGTCTAATAATGAGTCAGTATTTGATTATATGTAACGAAAACACAAGAAAATAATAATTAAAAACTGAAAACCAATTCACAAAAAGTGATTACAATTCACTCGTAAACTGACCACAAGTTTACGAGAATTGACAGCAAATTTGGCGTCAAATCACATAAACGTTAAAATTGAGTGAAAATTTAAATTTCAAAAACTTGTACCGATATTGAAAACACACTATTTATGGGTAAGTCATTGCAAACACATAGTAATGAAACCGTAGTCGCAATTGCGGTCTAAATGTGCGGACAATTAGTGTTTAATTATCAGAAATTAATTACAATTGAAAACAACAATAATAATAACGACTCACTCTCTCCACAGCATTACTACTAGAGCTCTGCACAGGACTACCCGGGCTAGAGGTCTGCACTGAACACGACATACCGGTGCCCACTCAGCCCCGTAATCCTATCGTGTCCTTGTAATTAACATTGATAATTTGTTTTTTGAATTTAATTTTTATTAATTAAATGCATCTAATTTGTTTATAGTTATGTAACATATGCTGTAGTATAAGTTATAACATAGGTTTTAAATTTAATATACGTGTGAAGCTTATGTGAATTGTTTTTTGTCAATTTGAACTATGTAAATTATAGTAAATTTATTGTAATTAGACTTTTTATTGCTGATGCAGCTAATATTTATATTTAGCAAGGTTTTTGACTAAATAAGTACACTATTCAGTGAAATATACTATCTTCCTATCTACAATAAATATTTGTTAAATTCCGTAAAAAGGACATAACTCTCCTAATGTATACCGTGAATGTTAGGCCCTATTGTTAATATGCATTAAATCATTACTAATTCACTTTTAAATACAATATATTTTATTAAAAATCTATATTTAATAACAAATTGATAGCAAATGAATGAAATGATAGTACAGTACTGTCGTACTAACCCATACACAGTGTGTATTACACACATCATATGCAGGGGACAGGCAAGGGGTTTGGCGCCACTTATACTTAATCTGATAACGAGAGTACAGTGCAACTCGAAAGTCAGTACACAATACAAGGATTTACAAACAGACAACGGGCCC